TTTTACATCTGTTTTTGCTCTAGTATATTGGTATCCTTAGCAGAAATCAATAAAAGGAAGATTAAAAGAGATTATCTCTATTTCTATGATACTTGCAGCAAAAAAAAATTTCACTAGTTGGATACACAATTGTAATCAACTTTCATCTGACTAAGAAACCTCTTATTTATTCTAAAATAGTACCACTCAAAATTATGATAATCGTATTAGAATTTTAGAACCACTAGCATGTGAAACAGTATTCCAAGAAGTTTGTCTAAACTCAGGTGTGGAAAAAGTTGGGAATTTTATTCTGTTTGATGATTTCACTTGAATACGCTTCCCAGATTTAGGCTTTGCGGGTCAATTCTCTTTTGTAATCCCCTTGCTTAGGCCATTTTTTTTTCCTTTTCTTTTAGTTTCACACAGGATGTTTACGTGCAATTGGAAATCTGTTTGGCCTTATACTGAACAATGTTGAACTTGGTGAAAATCGCACAGAGAAACTTTGTACAGAATTATCAAACACAGCAATTCAGAACCTCTCACTGAGCCATGTGAAGCTTTCATACATTAACAAGACAACTTTCCAGGGACTGCAAGGAACAAATCTCACAGTTTTAAACCTTTCCAAAAATTATCTCTCTGTGATAGAAGACAACTCATTTCAGTGGCTTTCAAATTTAGAGTACTTAAACCTGAAGGATAACAGTATTCATGTATCTTCACATTCATTTTATGGATTGTCCAGCGTCAAACATCTGAATCTGATAAATTCGCTCACTGGGAAAATTGAAGATTTTTCCTTCCATTGGTTATACCACCTGGAGTACCTTTTAATGGATAATAACAATTTTCCACGAATCACTACTAATATGTTCACAGGTCTGAACAACCTGAAATACCTGAGTCTTTCTAACTGCAACATAAACTTACAAAGAATAACTAATACAACATTTTTATCGCTTGCTAATTCCAGCTTGCAGGTTCTCAACCTCACAAAAACAAGAATCTATACAATAGAAAGTGGAGCATTTTCCTGCTTGGGACACCTGAAAATTCTCGATCTTGGTCTTAACGAAATTAGTCAAGAGCTCACAGGTCATGAGTTTAAAGGTCTCAATAACATACAATATATTTATCTTTCCTATAACAAAAACTTGACTTTGCAAAGTGAGTCATTCTCTTTCGTTCCAAGCCTTAGAATGCTGATGCTAAGGAAGGTAGGTTGCAGTAATCTGGCAATTTCTCCTTCACCTTTTCATCCTCTACAAAATTTGACTGTCCTGGACATCAGCAATAACAACATAGCAAACATAAAGGAAGATTTGTTTGATGGACTTCACAAACTTGATATTCTGAATTTGCAGCACAATAATTTAGCTCGACTTTGGAAACATGCAAATCCAGGAGGCCCTGTTCTTTTTTTAAAAGACCTTCCCAACTTGCATGTTCTAAATTTAAAATCAAATGGGTTTGATGAGATTCCAGTTCAGGTTTTCAAGGGTCTGTTTCAGTTAAAATATTTGGATTTAGGATCAAATAATTTGAATCTGCTTCCAGCAACTTTATTTGATGACCAAACTTCTCTGAATTCATTGAACCTTCAGAAAAATCTAATAACCTCAGTTGAAGAAGAAGTGTTTGGCTCAGCTTTCAAGAACCTGAGAAAACTAGAGATGGATTCCAATCCATTTGATTGCACCTGTGAAAGTATTGCTTGGTTTGCTAGTTGGCTTAATGCGACCCAAGCGTATATACCTGGATTGCAGTCTCAGTACATTTGCAACACTCCGCCTAAGTATCATGGTACTCTGGTATTGCATTTTGATACCTCAGCCTGCAAAGACAGTGCTCCATTTAAGCTTCTGTTTATGATCACTACTACAGCTGTGATGCTACTCATTTTTATTGTTCTTCTCATCCATTTTGAAGGGTGGAGGATAGCTTTCTACTGGAACATTTCAGTAAATCGAATACTTGGTTTTAAAGAACTTGATAGACTACAGGAAGAGTATGATTATGATGCTTACATTATTCATGCAAGACACGACAGGAATTGGGTGTTAAAGAATTTCATATCTCTGGAAAAAAATAAGCAGTTTGAAGTTAGGTTTTGTTTAGAGGAACGGGACTTTGAAGCAGGCGTATCAGAATTTGAAGCCATAATTAACAGTATAAGAAGGAGCAGGAAGATTATTTTTGTTGTGACTGAACATCTCTTAAAGGATCCCTGGTGCAAGAAGTGAGTAGAACATAAAACACTGTATGTAAGGGGACAAAATTCTTAACTGATTTTTAACAAGGTAATCCTTATTTTTGCTATGTAGATTAATTACAAATTCAATGAAAATTCTACTTTAATATATCATAATTTTTGAACAGTTACAAAATTAATAAACTTAAGTGCTCTACAGGTACACTAATGGATATTTGAACCTCTGTCAATATCACCTCTGTAGATTGCTTTCCCCAAAATTACACATTTGAAACACAATAACAAGTTTTGTTGGTGAGATCACTAGCATACAAAGATGATTTTTATTTGTCTTTAAACAACTATTTTCATTACTTCTTTGTAGTGATCTTGAAAGGGAAAGAAAAGACTGTACAATTTAGATTGTATTTTAAGATCGTAATTTTTTCTGTAGTTAAAAAGTAATTTAACACAAGTTGTAACACTTTCTTATCACTGAATGTACATTAAAATCCGTTTATAAAATCAGGGTCTAATGTGCTAGTATGTGAGCTGTCAAAAGAACTATTTGTCCTTTCTTTCCCCAGCATGAAATAAAATACATTTTTGTCTTATTTTTGCTTCAGGTTTAAGGTGTATCATGCTGTTCAGCAAGCTATTGAACAAAGTCGGGACTCCATCATATTGGTCTTTCTTCATGACATCCAAGATTACAAGTTGAATCATGCACTTTGCTTGAGAAGAGGAATGTTCAGATCTCGCTGCATCTTGAAGTGGCCAGCCCAGAAAGAAAGAGTCAATGCATTTCATCAGCAATTAGTGATGGCACTTAAATCTAATAGTAAAGCACGGTGAATGTTGATAGTCAAACTATCAGCTTTCTATCATTAGAAAACTAGGAAGCTGTCAGTAAAAAATGAAAAAAAGTTTGTCATACAGGAAAAATACAAGAGTCACTAATTTAAATGTAGTTGTCTACAGTGCAATTCACCTGCACCAAGGTGGCATTATTTAAAGTGGACTACAATTGATAGTCATTTCAGTCTGTGTATCAAAAAGCAGTTCTGAAATGACTGAATTCTGAAAATTCTGAATGACTGAAGTGCTAGGGAAAATGTCCATCTGACATAATGTGGAAAAGCCATGGGCTCTCTCCTTTAAAGGGGTATGTAAAAGAGAATGCAACAGAAAGTAGAATAGACACTACTATTTGTTTTCAAAAGAGAAGGGGTGATTCAGAGAGATTAAACTGGAAAAACTTTTTATATGAAACACAGTAAGTAACATGGAAATTTTTTCTGTAGTCAAAGCCACTAAAAAGGAACAAACCAGACAGAATTCTGTATTGTAATTTCTTATACATTAATTTGGCTGTTTCTTCCTTCCTCCTCCTGTACTTTTCAGAAGCATGGGGTAGTAGGCAATTGCATAGTATTAAGATACAGATTTACAGGCTAGTACCTTGATCTGGAGAGAGCTAAGAATGCGGGAAATGTGCTCTGAAATGATGTTTATCATGTTTGAGACTGTTTGCAATTTTATGGAGTATTTGAGCACAACTTATTGACTCTACACATTTATTTGTATATTTCTGTTAATGTTTAATTGTTCCTTCAGAGGAACTTTCAAACTTTGTCTTCAGTTTTCAGTACTTGTTTGGTCTTTCATTAGCTGAGGAATATTTTTACTGTTCCCCTAGCATTTCTCTCGTCAGCTTCAATACCACCATTATTCCAAGAATGTTGTTTTACTGCTTTAGACAATAGATTTCAGATGGTTCAATAGTTAACATTTTAATCAGCTTCTCTTATGGTTTGTTAAATTCATAGATTAAAAACATCGGGTGTTAATATTTTTTTTTTTTTTGTCCCATGATGACAGAAAATAAATAAGAAATATATAATGAAACAGGTTTTGCATGCACTGGAAGAGTGAAAGGAGTGTTGACTGCTTTCACTGTCTCAGGAAGTCCTGGAGTGAAAACAAAAGGCTTTGTTTACAGATGAAGTGATAGATGATGATTCCCTAATTACAGTAATAGGATTATCCCATTGTGATGCTTTCATCTCATCTTTCTGTTCTTTTCAGGCTAAGTGACAAATTCTCTCTTCGTGCATGGGCCATGAAAGTTGAGGAGGCAAGGCAGTGAGGATGGGGTGCCAGATATGCACCATGTCAATTGTCCTTTCTTTTATTTAATGATTAACGTGAAAGGGTACCTATGTTTACTACATCTGTAATGACACACACACAAAAAAAAAAAAAAAAAAAAAGCAGAATTTCTCATTTCACCTCAATATAAATGGTTTATATTCACATGTACATTAAAAATACTGTAACATTGCAGAGAATACACAAATAAATGCTGAGGTGAAATGCGATACAAGAGGCCAGATTAAGTGATGAAATGGTATTTTCTGGCCATTAAAGTGTTAAAAGACATAATGTCTAATTTCTCAAAAGACACCCTTGTTACTCCAAATGCCCCCAAAATTCCAAAATTGGTCTTGGAAAACTGAGTAAATGTGTTATGGATACTGTTGTAATATAGCTAGGAATACAAACTAAATGTAACTGCTGACGAATGAAAAGCATTTAAAATGATAAAAGTATGACAGTGTGCTCTAAAAAGTTATTTTAGTATTTACATTCAGTTTGAAATAATTTACAACAGAAGAAGACATTATGAAGGGTCACAGTGAGAAATAAATTAATGTTAAAAAACAAAACACAAAAGCATTTAAGCACAGGACCAATGGTAAAATATCAATATACTTGACATATATACACACATACATAAATATATATATATACATATATATATATATATATTTATTTTTTTGTACAAAACTTCCTTGTTTGTCTGGAAGTTTTCTATTTCTGCTCTTCTACTATACATACGTTTCTCAGTATTACTGAGAGTAAATAAATGGGTTTACTTCTGGTGAAGAGTTTTAAGTCCTTTCAGGGTTAACAGTATGTATTTGAGCTGTCTGGTTTCTCGACAGTGGATAGCATCAGACCATACTATGCTGATTTACTGAGGAGATGAAAATCAAATAAATGAAAAATAGTATCAAACTTGTAGCATCAAAGATATTACCTTGGACTACAGAGGTATTGAAAAGAATATCGGCAGGATTGAAGTGAGGTAGAATGCTCAAGTCTGTAGGTTTGGGGTGGAACCTGCCGATTTCTGTGGTTCTTGCGCGACAGGGAGAAATTAACAAGTTAGTGACATTCAGAATAGGTTCTGTGCCAAGTTTTAATGCAGGATATGTTAGGGTTGCAAGCTCCCAAACGGGACACGCAGCTAGGACAAACACATTACCCACCTAAGTGCTCAGTGCGATTGGTTTTACTATGGCATGGGGAAAGACATTTTGGCAGGTTGAGGAATAAAACTCTGCTTCCTTTAGGGACCTTTTCCCTAGCATTTACACCCTCACCGCCCTACACCCCCACGCGGCCATGGGGCGCGTAGGCTCGACGGCGACCTCCATACCTCGCTGCTGGGCGGTGCGAGCCCTGCTGCGCTTTGTTTGGCCTAGCAACCACCCGGGGCCGGGCCAGGACCGGGTCAAAGCCGGCCAGGGCCCCGTCCTCCCCTCCCGGGCTCGCCGCCGCGATCCTGGCCCTCGCCAAGCCCCGCCGTCCCCCGGCCGGGCCCGGCCCCGCCGCCGCGGGGGACATGGAGCCCGGGGGCCGTGCGGGCGGCCGGGCGCTGCTCATCACCCTGCCCGACATCGGCGAGGAGGCGGCGGCGGAGGAGGGCGACGCCGAGGAGGGACCCCGCAGCCCGCGGAGCCCCCCGTGAGTGCGAGCCCCGGAGGAATCCGGGGAGGGGGCGGCAGCGGGAGCGCCCCCGGACCCGGGGGATGGATGCCCCGGTCCTTCGGGGCGTGCTGGGCGGTGTGGGAGGAAAACGCCCCCTGCCCGGCGTGGGGAGCTCCTGAGTGATGTAGGGTGTGTGTCGGGGGGCTCACTTCGTGGCTGTTTGCTGAACCAACGTAGAAAGGTTTCCTGGAAAATGTAAAGCAGAATAGCTGGCTAGAGTCTAAAATAGCTATACTATTGCATTGGAAGTGTATTTTGTACTTCCCCTGAAGAAAAAAATGCTAATGTATGGCTTCCACGTAGCAGAATTTGTATTACAGTCCTCAGGCTTTCCCCTGGCAGAGAAACTGTGCTCGTCCCCGTGCTCACGGTTGATACAGTAGGTGTGTTAGAAGGTGGGCACCTGTTCGATGCTTTTGGAAGCAGTTTATGGGCCTGATGTCTGCGAAGGCACCTGATTTTGAACATGCCAATAAGTTTTAGGAACAACAATCTCTTGAAAGGCACTGTCTGTTCTGTTTCAAGGAGGGGAAAAAAGTATTTGTTTTTATTTTTTCTGCTCATGTCTGTTTAAATTGATTCCTCACTGATTTCAAGGAGTGCCTCCAGTGCAACACAAGCAGGGTATAATAATAATTTGATCATCTTCTGATTTATCTGCCTCTTCTGTGTTTTTGTAAAGTTTGATCATGTCAACTCTTAGCCTTCTCTCCGATTGAATAGTCCCAGCCTATCCAGCCTTCCTTCCCTCTATTCCCTTAATCACATTTGTAGCCTTTTTCTTATTGCTGCTTGTCCTTGAGGTGCAGGGACCAGATATTCTCTTTGTGGATGCAGGAAGGCTTTACATAGCAGCAAAGTGATGCTTTCCATTTCAGTATCCTTCCTGGTGTGGACCAACATTTTGCTGATGGCTTTGGCTGTCACTGTGTATTGAGTCTGTGATGACTGTAGGATTGCTTTCTGAACTGTACCTGCTAGTCCCAATGTCAGCATCATGTAAAGGTGATGTAGTCTGTTTTTCTCCAAAAAGCCATTGCCAATGGCTATTTGTAAATAAACAGTTTTATAAAGTTATTTTTACATTTATTTAAGCAAATAATAAATGAATTGAGATACCGTAATTGTCTCATAGCTAAGATATGTAACTTGTGAGAATAATACAAGAAGTGTAACATCCTCCCTGCTGTGCTGCTTTTATTTCCTCCAACCTCCATCTAAAGTTGTGGGTTTTATTTCAGAATGAAATAAAGCTCCTTCAGGCTTAGCATTTTGCTGCGTTTGTGTAGAATAGTAGCCTTTCTGCAGTAGTGGGATTAATGTGGTTTGAGGTATATTGACAGAATTATGTTTAAAATGTATTTGATGCTTTTTTTACATAATATTACAACCAAGTCAGTGTTTGTCTGTAATTTCCCACTATTTTATTTTTTCTTAAATACCAGAAATAAAGCTGGGTATAATGCTGTCTGAGCTGGTATTCCTGTTAAAGGGCTGATTTTTTTATTGTTAAAAAAAAAAGAAAAAAAAAAGAAAAAAAAAAAAGATGACACTCTTTAACTTTTTGCTTGTATTGGGGTGAAGAATAAACTTTATTACATTAAAACTGGTTGTGTGCAGCAAAATGCTTATTCCAGGTTACTACTGAAACACTTCTAACTGATATTCCCTCATTATTCCATAATCATTATACTTTTGTATGCATGGCAGCATTTCAAATATTTTATTCATAGCAGTCAAGCTTATTCTGATAAGGTATTGTCTGTCTTGAAAAAAACAAAAAAACAAACAAACAAAAAAAAACACAACAAAACAACCAACCAAACAAAAAAACAACACACAAAACACAACACGAAAACCAACCAACCAAAACCACACACACACACACACACACAAAATGCAAACCAAACCAGAAGGACATAGAAGGAATAAGATACAACACTTTGACAAGGAAAGTCTATACCTCCACATTAGCATTTTTTAATTAGATGGTTCCACTTAAGCCTGTAGAAGAAGCATCTCAATTAAATATTGAAAACTTTAGTATTCCTTGCCTACAGTTCAGATTTGAATGTGTGAGTTGCAGAATGCAGTGTTATGTCCTTCATAGTTACATGTAGGAAGTTTTTGCTTATCTGAACAAAATTCCTATGTGACAAGTCTTATTGGTGTTTAAAATATTTGAGAAGACATTGTCAATGACTACTGAGCTTTCATTAATAGCAATTTAACTAGGAGTGATTGGTTAATAAAAAAATGTAATCCATATTATATTTTACATTTTTTTTTTCTTTAGTTGCTGAAAATCAACAACAATTGAAATGACTGAGAGAGCAAAATAGAGAAAATCTGGCACTGATTTCTTCTTGTCTTTCCTGGGTACTCTAAATATTTCAGTCCTTCAATTTTCTCAGCTCTGCAATGACCAAAATCAGTCCTAGTACAGTGTAGGGCTAAACCATAGCAGTAGTTTATAGGATTTTATATTTACCGTTTATTTACATATTGATTTTGTATCCTTCTCATCCCATTGAAGGAGCAGTAATAGATTTTTTTATTATTACTATTTTTTTTAAAGGAGAAAAGTCCACCTGCACTACTGTTGTTTGGTGAAAAACAAACAAACAAGCTATATAAGGTCACAATATCCTTAGGAGGATGATGTGATGCCTTATGCTACACTTACCACAGCATATTGGTGAAACCAAGATACATTGATACCTTTTTTTAAGAAACGTGATTATTAGTAACCTAAAACATTGTGGTAACTATGGCAGATAACAGCTATTAGATGATCTAGAGATAAATCAGACAAGGTTTCAGTTATGTTATTTAGGAATGGGTAATATTTTGTAGAAATTCCTTGAACTGCTCTGCATGTTTCAGGACAGTTCTAATGCCTGGAAAACCTGTCAGTGAATGTGGTACAAGAAAGGTAGATTTATCTGTCATGTAAAAATGTCTCTGTCTACTGCCAGCTTTTTTGTCTCTCAGTAGCTCAAGATTTGGCCTTCAAAATGATGACCTTTGAAAGTACAGGTATAGGCAAGTTGATGAGCTGCAGAAGAGAATGGAAACTGCTTCCCTGTCTCCTGTTTTAACCATTAATAGGAATAGATCCCTTTCATGCTGTAATGCATATTAATCTATACAGGGCAATGTAGCATTACTTTGCTTCTCATTGCAGCTGTTGTACTGACCTCAAAGTGCAAATGCAATGATGTGGTGTTTTCCTTGGTCAATTTTTTCATTGCAAATAAGTGTAAAAGAGCTTAGAGGTATTATTAATTTTACATGATACTACTGGTCAGGATTTCAGTATTTTTCTAGATGGATGGAACTGAAAGTATTATTGAGCCTTTCCTAATATTTTATGTAATTATAGTTTCTTGGTTAAGTCTCCTGCAATTTCCAGCAAGTAGTTAGTCAGAGAATAAATGCCCAAAATGCTAAAAACAAAGAATGCCAGTTTTCCTCAAAGTGCTTTTATTGATTTCAGATGCCCAGAACCTACCTATTACCTTTAATAATAGGTTCTGTTGTTTAGGAGAGACGAGAGTGTTATGCTTAAAAACAGGTGCTCTGTTTCTGAGCCAGCACTCCATGAGAGAGATCATGAGCATCAGTGATGGAAAGCAAAAGAGGAAGAGCCCAGGGCTATTACAATTATTTACTGGCAGCACTCCTGTAATGTCGGGTGGGAGATGCTGCTGAATTGTATGGAAGTTGGGACCGACAGGAAGGGAGTGATATTGGATGACGGGGAGAACGGGCTGATTTGGGAGACTGAAAAACTTTCTTGTTTCTAAGTGTTTGGCTGTAGCAGGTTTGGCAATTTTCTTTGGTGTTTTTAGCTCACTGGTAGTCAAGATGCATTTTTACTCTACAGAAAGTGACTGTGTGCATGAGGGATTTGTCATATATACAGCAGGAGACTATCCATCATCAGTGTGTAACCCCTCTGCTCTGGCCAATAAACCTCTATTTCAGTATATATACATAACAAGTACTTGTGTTTTAAAATATATCAGATGTGCTTTTTAAGGCTTCCTGACATGAAAGAAATGATGTCTTTGGTCCCAGAGGAAAGAGAAAGGTGCTTTGTATCATATACAGACTAAGGTCTCCCCACGCTTGCATTGCTTGCATACCGCTGTGTACTGTAGAGCTGTGTCCATGATCTTCTTTCGTCTGCATAACAGGGTCTGTTACAAGAAAAAACATCAACCGAGTTTTCAAAGGTACATGAGTAATAAGAAGACATGCGGAAAGTCTTGTGGACCACTTCCAAGTGTTTTGTTAGGCTGCTACTCTCTCCCTGTCTCTGTTCACAGACACTTGATCCTCCAGCAGTAAATGCCTCCTATCAGATCTAAAGAAATAAAACACCTTCTCTAAGATGCTAATTAGCATTCTTTATTATTGTAGTTAATTAAGATGATAGTATTTTTCTTAATGTTTATTCATAATTTATATTAAAAAGTCAGATTTACTTCCATAAATAAGAGCAGTACTTAATATGCATGTTTTGCTCTCAGAAATTGTTTATTTTCTGGAAGCAAGTATTATACTTATGTTTTCATTTTCACAGTGAACCAATAATAGAAATATAAAATATATGTATTTATAAAATAATCACCAAGCTCATGTCATGTTAAAGGCTTTATAATTTTGAAATGCATTCAAAATTAGTAGAAGAATAAAATGAGTGTAGCGCATGCAGGTAGTTTTAAGAACTAAGCCTAGCTTTAAAATCAGAAGAGCATATTGTTTATCTTAGGAAGACAGGAGCAGGGCGCAACAAAGGTCATGGTTGCAAAAACCTTAAATCTATTTCAGGTTTCAGTATGAAAATGCCTAATACTAAGCATTCCACTTAGGTGGATGTAGTACTATGGTCTAAGTAGTACTTAGGCAGTTTAAAAAATTAAAAATTATGTCCAGTTTTACTTTATTCCACCTCTTTAGAAATAGCC